TTTCAACACAAACTTAAATAAGCGCTTAAAAAATTTCGGAAGTCAAATACTCTCATAATTTTGAAAGACTCGTTGTCATAAACAATAGATTTAATTCAGATTTCTGATACTTTGTGTTTGGTGAGTAATCTTGATTGCTTGAACTTGTTTCCATCAGATTGATTCTGAAGAATGGAACAAGACAGTGGGTCAGACTGTACTCAGAACATGGCAGATGGAATCTGCACATAATTATGAAAATAACCTGGATGTTAAAATGGTAAGGATTTGAACATTTGTGTACAGCTCTTTATTGTTGTTTTTCTTTGCTCCTTTTGTCATTTTCACTCTTGTGTTAAACTCCTATGTACTCAGTATCGCCATATTCTTAATTATTTCAGGTCTTTAACTGTCCTGGCTGCTCGGAATTTACTGTTGACTTTGATGCGCGCTGTGAAACTGAAAGAAGGTTGGATTTTCTTAGTGCACTCATAGATTTGAATTTTGCGCACGTTTTGTTGTAATTGCAAGATAAAACCTACAGATTTAATTTTTTTAGTAAGAAGGCTCATCAACATAAATGTTAGTTTTTATGAAATCAATTTAAGAGTTCGACTTCGATGTCTTGCAGATATGATTACTTGGAATTTACAGATTCAAATGGTAATAAGAAACGCTTTGATCAGAAGGTTGATACCGAGAAGTGGCCAAAAGTGAGTGACAAGATCTTTTCTGTGGTTCCTTTCTGTCTATATCAGTGGCAGTTATTCGGATTAGTCTGCCAAATTTTAAATGTCCGCCCTTTCCGCGTATTTAAGACTTTTTTCCATTTCTCAGCGTTTTGATTGTTCAAATACAGTCTCTTCATCAGCCAACTGTTTTGTTTGTTTGTTTGTGCAGAGTTATACATTCAAAGCCGGAAACCGCTTGCTTTTTAATTTCCATTCAGATGGCAGTAATAACGAATGGGGATACAAATTCACGGTAATTAAAATGATGTCAAATTTCATCCTATTCTTTCCTTCCCATCCCCCCTCCCCATAGTAATCGATAGAAATATTCTGAATTTCGTCAGGTGACTGCAAAAGGTTCACCAGATGTGGCTCTATCGTGGATTTTCGACCTGCAGCTTGGAATGGCTCGTCTGTTTGGTCAGCTGTGCAGTGCGGCCTTGGATAGTAGGAAAGGTAGACATGTATAAATGACCGATATTTTAATTAGATTCTTAAAAAGTCTTATCCAATCAAATTCCTACTACCAGTCAAAATTTCATTTACGAGAGCTATCAAGCGTAGTTCATTTATCAAGTTAATTGTACAAAACAGGACCCGGTTCTTCAAAGCTGGGGTAAGATAACCCAGGGTTGGGGTGAAATCTGATCAGTTAAAAATTCAGTATCATTCTTTTTTGTACAATTTAAAGATTGGATGCTCTAAAAAGAATAGAGAAAATTATCTGAAAAAAGTTTTTGAACAAGCGAATAAAGGAACCCAGATTAAAATTTGACCTGAGTTGGCGCTAATCGGCCTTTGAACAACTGGGCCCAGTAAATTAGAATGAACTTTGTGGGGAAAAATACTGTTTCACTCAACTATCATCTTCATTCTCGAAATAATATTTCCATTCCAAACTGTCTACAATGTGGTCATTTGACGGTGAAATTTATCTCATTTAGCCTCCCCAACTCTTTCGGATGTTGACAATGAAGAAGAAATTAAGTTGCTCCAAAGCGAAATTTGGACAACACTTTTCCGTGGTGGATACATGACAGGCAAGCTGCAAAGATCTCTCTCTGGTCATCATGTGAGTCATTTTCAGTTTATTTATTGCTCACTCTACTTTTATAACCCTTAAGTATTCATGACATAACCACTTTCCTCTGCTTGTTTCATAGGCAACAACAGCTTCTTCAGTAGAGAATTCCGTCAACTCTTTTTTGCACGGATTTGACGGTGGAGATAATGGAGCTATCGAAGAACTAATTAATAGGTTGGTTTACGTTTAAATGCCTCGACAATGTGGTAATGTTTCAATGCGGTAGCTTACGCTAAACCGTTCCTGTTTATTGTCACGCTCTTTTTGAAGCATGCCGTTTAACGTCTCCTTTAGGTGTCGTGAGAAGGCTCCCGGTCCATTCATCGGAGGTCCCCTGGTAGACCAGGCCGTCAAATCTGCTTTTGCTGCCCTTATTTGGCACTCGCAGGAGTTAAGGGACCAGATAGTTCTATTTGGTGAGTAGAACTGTCAGCACTGCATGTTTCTCTACAAAGCAGTTTTTGTTTTCAAACTTCAGTGCTTTTAAATTTTTCGCTCAGTTACCTATAGGGAATATTTTAAATTTTTAGCTAACAACACTCCTCCAGAATCTGTCCCAGAAGGCGTTCAAGAAGCTTATATAACTGCTGAGTCTCTTAGGCGAGGATTGGTAAGTTTATTTTGGTATTTCAATTCAATCTTTCGTCGTGGAGGATACTGCTGTTTGTTATTACACCTCTGTTACACCTCAGTTCTTAACCTCTTATTGTCGTCCTGTTTTGTTGCAAGGTGGATCGTCGCCAGCGTCTGATTCTGCAGGCAGAAGAGGAATCTAGTCAGGACAGCAATTCACTTCAAAAAATCAATCCTGACTCACAGGGTATGTCAGGGTGTCTACAATGCTGTAAATCATTTTTTACTTTGTGTTTATGTTTACTGAATTCCATCTCCTGTATAGAGTGACAACCTTGTCTGTATTAATCGATGTTTTGTGTTTTGTTTCAGTGATTGCCTGCAAAGAAAAGGCGCAGTTTCTTCTCAAGTTTGCAGGGCTGCAGAGGATCACTGACAAAACCTGCGAGGTACAAGAACAGATCGCCACACATTTCCTAGTCCATAAAAATAGACCTTTTCTTTAGCAATCTCTGATACGTTTAAATTCAAACCCGTTCATACATTGTAGGTTACTGCCTGGCAAGTTTCGGCCTCTGTTTCGTTTGGAGGGAGCAATCGACTTTGCACGAAACTGTTCAACATGCAAAATATTTATATTCTTTCGCAACTTCAAAATTTTCGGTGTTTTGTTTTGTGAGGTGTTGGTGTTAATCTTGCGATGGTTTTATGGCACTTGCACAGGGGAGAGAAAACAGACGATCCAAGTGGCTGAACAGAAAATCGTCTTGGCAGAGAACATCTGGCGAGCACAGTGGGAGCATTTTGTCAGGACCTCGACAGGTGAGAAATCTGCACAGTCTGCTAAATTATTGAATCAGTTTACCTTATCTTTTTGGATCCTGTTTTCCTTACATTTACTGAATTTATTTTTGGATACACCATAAAAGCTTTTCCTGGCGTCACAAAGCGTGAAACAAAAGTATTATTGTTTCCGCCAGAGAACCCTGTCCATCGAAGAGATCAAGACGATAGACAAGCATCCAGCATTCAAACTTATCCTGGACTTTGTCACAAATGATTCCTATTCTCATGAAAGGTATGTTGATGGGGCTTGGGTCAGCTCAGGCTGTACAGTTATTCCTGTTTCCATCAGCTTTTGTTGTTTACATTTCTGGTTGCAACACGGGTGCCAATTGGTAGAGCTACTCTAGTGCTTTAATTTTGATCTTTATTTCACCTTAATTTTTCTGTTCTGTTGAAGAATCCAAGCCCTACTGCAGCAGAGAGTGAAACATGCAAACAATGTGGCCGACATTTATCTCTTCGCTGCGGATTTTCTTCGCATTTCTTCGGAAACAGATCTTGTCCAGGTGATTTCTTTATGTCTCAGTTAAAAAAAAAAAGAGACACTTCTTTCCTCAACCCATCCAATATCTAATTCTCCCTGGAGCATCCCTCACCCATCAAGCCTGAGGTTTTTTAAAGTCGAATGTCAGGTCACCTTTATTTGAAAGCTTCAAATTTTATCAGTAGACCCAAAAGGTTGACTGAAATAAGTTATTTTGATAGCTATTTTATGTGAACCTGGGCCCGAACTTGTTTGAACCTGTTACATAGGACCACGGACACTTTCAGGGCGTGAAATTGCGCCTAATACAGGCGCCAATGCGACTAAATTTTTCACTTTGGCGACCAAATCCTGAAAGTTAGTCGCCAAATTGGCGACTAGAATGTTTCATCATAGCCTTACCAAGAGATATAGTGAATTAAAAAGATTTGCAAAGATAAATCCGCGGCAAACTTCCTCGTTATGTTTGTTTCCAAAACGTAGCACATGCATCTCGATCGATAACTAGACGCCATCTTGGATTTAGGTGAGCTTGAACGTTGTACATCATCCATCCTAGTGTCCACTTTGTAGCACGTTAGAGATCTTTTCCCTAACTTAATTTTGGAGGGTTTATGTAGAACGCTGACAGCGTAAAGAAAGGTCTTGTTTGTCTTTGAAAATGGCGACCACCTTTTTTTGAATTGGCTACCACTTTGAAGAATTTAGGAGCCAAATGGCTATCAGAAAAAAGAATTAATTTCACGCCCTGACTTTACATTAATTTAACCAAGGATGTTAAAATTCATTTCATCTGTTTTTCACTTTACAATAGCTGTATTAGTTAAAAAAAAATCTTTATTGTTGAGCTTCCTGAATTGTTTTTGTTTGTTCTTTTCTTAATCCACTCAGGCCCCAGCCGTACTCTTCTTGCAACAGTTCTTGGCTTCTCAAAAGTTCTTTCCGAGGTAAGACTCGCCGTTTTGATAGAAACCTTGACTGAAGTATCTGTGTACTATGAAACATTAAATGTATCACTTGTTGCAAGAGAATAATACTGTTTGTTGTAGTAATCCCGGTTTTTTTAAAAAGACACTTAATTAACGACCGTTACAAATCAAACTCACGATACGGACTAAGTCGTAATAACTTAGGAACACCATAGTTGTTTACATGAAATTTAAATATTCCTCCTGAGTTTTGCGAAACATTGCTCTTTCACTTTCAAACGGTCTCATTAGTTACATTACAACATGACATCTCACTTTTACTTGTTTTCACGAACACTCTATACATTAGACTTGCTCAAAGCGAGCAAATTGTCTAAAGGAGCAGCTGCGAAGAGAACTGGTGATTAACATTTCACCGGTGTGCATTCTGGGTCAGTTGGAGCGATCGTGGAGTGAAGTTTTTTTTTTATTTGGTAGACACTATGCGGATAATCTTGATGGTTGTGGGTTACATCTGGAGAATAAAGTCCGCCGAGCGTACTATGCGCTGGTTAGAAGATGTCTGGAGGGAGTCAAGTCTTACCATACACAAGCTTCAATTCGTAGGTATGATCACTAAACTTTAAAAGGAAATGAAAGACGCTATGGTCGTGTCAGGATGGACTGTGAAAAGAAGGGCAACGAGGAAAAGACTTCCCTGGTTTTGGTTAGATTCAAGTTACACTAGACCTAAACCCTTTGTGTTTCATTGTTTTTGTGTGTGTGTGTGTGTGTGTGTGGTCTTTATTTTTTTTTTGTAAAGAGCTGCAATGTTCAAAACGTTTCAAAGAAATTGATTTCGTGACTAGGTGATATTTTGTGTGTTGTGTCCTATTTCAGACCGAGTTCTGCAGCATTTGAATGTCTCCGAGCTTTTGTTCTCCATCTACTTGATACTGACTGGAAGGTTTGTGATTTTTGGATTTTCTTAAGAGTCCGCGATCTTTGTACGTTTTCATGAAGTTCTTATGATATTCTTTTGTGTTTGCTTATCAGGGTTACGATTACACTTTTATTCTCGATGTTCACCTCCCTGAGTTCCTTCTGGACACTGCAAAAGGTGATTAACGATCACTTTCTACGCGCTCAAGATTCTGCCATTAACTTTGTGACTCGTATAAATAGAAACTGAACAACGCTTTTTCCCGAGGCTGAAGTATCTCTTGAGAAACTTACTTAATGTTTGAATGGAAAACTCTGATAGAATACGGATATGTTGTCTCGATATTATATTATCTTGCTTGAGCTTTCAACGATATACTTGAAATTTTTGCAAGGGCCAATGGAACGTTGCCAATCGTTCTTATTTATGTATCTGTTTATTTATTTTTTAATTTCAATTTTGCTGAGCATAGCATAACCTCATTTTTAATTGATTTACTTTATAGAAAATGATGGTACAGGTTTTTCTTAGCAATTCATTGTGCTGTGTGTATAACATGTGTTCTCAAATCCTTGTGTAGCGACCGTATTGGAACCTAAACAGGATGTGAAGGATATGAATGAACAGCAAGAACTGGATCATTATGAAGAAGGAAATGGCTGGCTACAGGAGGCTAAACGAGACATATCTTGGTTCTCTCGTCTGCAGAATGAAGCACAGACAGATCAGGAACGACGGGTTAGTGTACTTTGAAAACCACGAAACAGAATCCCCGTATGACTACATACATTTTGCCCCTGTGACGTCTCTCTCTCTCTCTCTCTGCTTGTTTCGTTTTCAATTTTCTTAATTTTTGGCTTTCTTGGTTGGTTTATTTCTTTTTTACTGTAATTAGCTCTCTTAAACATTCATAAGAAAGTGTTTAGACCCGCAGATTGTTAATTAGTAGTTACCATAAAATTCGCTTTTTTCCCCTCAGAGAATGCATCTATTTGTGGCACGTTTCTCAGATATTCTTGATGTGTCAATAACCTGTGATGGCTGTGATGTCACCCTGTCGGGCAGGAGATACCGTTGCCTTAACTGCATGGATGTTGACTTGTGTAATACGTGTTACCTAAGTGAGTGAATATCGGGCTTCATGTAATAGCCCTTCCTTCGTAACATACATATTTAAGATGTTCTTCAAGACGTGAACCGGTATCATTTGAAGCCAACATGATTTATTTTAGTTCAGTTTCGCCAGGTATGTGATTGTGTTATATGCTAAAATTCACTTGCACTGCAATTTTTGTTGCGATGGAAGTCGGATTCTTATCAACAATTGTTTCTTCCTTCATGTTTATCTTTAAATTGTACTGCGCAGGTGGAGTGAAGCCCGAAGGTCATACAGACTCTCATGATGTTATTGACATGAGGTTAGTGATCATTACGTGATCTTATTATCGGCACAGGAAAACCATTTTAAATGGAGGAAGCATTTTACTGAACTCTTTATTACAAAGTTATACTTCATACATCTTTACCTTCACCATTCTGTGCAGCCTCTTGCTATACATATCCCTATTCTCAGTGCTTGGATTAAGTTTGATCGAAAGCGAATTGATACTCATGTTATTTTGGTGATAACGCGATATTTTTTTCTCAAGCTGCCAGCAGCAGCTATTTAATGACGAACCAAGGTGTGCTGAAGAGAATCAGCGATGACAAAATATTTTAACTAGAAAATTAACATTTTACTCTGAGGTTAATGAAGTATTAGTGTTACGTGAGCAAACTCAGATTTTGGTAATGTTTTATTTTTCAGATTTAAGTGTGACGAATGTCAGAGTTTTATCGTCGGAACACGGTTCCACTGCAATGAATGTACAGACTTCGATTTATGTTTTGGTTGTCATTCATTTGGCAAGTTCCCACCGAGGTAAGTAAATTCGTCATTTTTTAACATATTATGTCATCTACCAAAGTAGAGCTGATAATCATGTCTACCGACTGAAATGATCATTATGTTTTCTCCCAGACACTCTGCGACCCATAAAATGACCAAATTTCCACTTAAGACAGGTGAGGTAGAAGTTTTAACGTTTGAAAACGTTCAAAGTCAAACAATCTGGATATGTGGATATGTCCAGTTTTTGTCAGTAATAAAGAATGATTGCTTTAACTTTTTTAAGGTTCACTTCTAGACACAAGTGCAAACGATCCAGCGAGCCGTGTACAGCTGTACACTCATCATCACGCTTGGCTGCAGTTTACCGCGTTGGCTCTTACTTTGGCAAATTTTATTAATGAGCCAAACAAGTCTGGTAAATATATTTTTCTATACATCATTCTGTAATCAGTCGTTCTTTGAGTTTCTAAGTTTGTTACTCACAAGTAGTTTACTTCATTTCCACTACATGTTTGTGAGACTCGTATCACAGATATAGAGTACAATAAAATGAACTGGAATAAGGTTTTGTGAGAATGTACCCCGTCTGAACGTCTGTTTGCAAGTACGCGATGTTACATATACAAATCCTTTCTTTCCATCCTGGATCCGCCATGGCTTCTGTTAATGATGAGTATTTCAGTTAAAGGTATTTTATTTTAAGTTGTACGAAGAAGATCAACAGAGGAAAGTAAAATTTTTGTTTTGTTAACTTGTTTGTTTGTTCATTTAGTTTTATTTTGTTAGTTGTGAGTTTAGATTATCTCCGTACCGCTGGCCATCTTCACATGGACTGCCTGTCTTTGGTGACTAAGTGCCTAAGCCATGCCTGCTTTAAAGCACAGACCGGTATGTAAATGTTACGTTTGAATAAATCTCACCTTAGTTCACTTAAATTTCCGTTTAACCCTTTAACTCCCAAGATCTCATTAGTAATTCTCCTTGCTGTCTACCATATAGTTCTTGTGATGTTAGTATTGCGAATTTGGAATTGGATCATTGATATTTTCCCTTATTCTCATTACTTGACTGCTTGACATTGTACTGATGGTGAAAGGAGAAATTCTGCCCAGGTCACTAGTGGGACTTAAAGGGTTAAACACCCGCATGGTAAAAACAAAAGGAAAGGATTTTCTCGACAATTAGTTTCAATTAGCCCCACTCAAACTTACCTACAAGTAACGTCTGTAGTAAGATTTTTTTGTGACATCAACCTCTTGGGTTGTATTAAAACCTTAATGCCAAAAGATCCTGACTTGTATCTCTGTGTCCACCAGTGTTTTTTTTTTCTTTTTTCGCGTAGTGTGGCATTTATTATGTTTTCATCTTGTAGGTGAGGATGGCACGGAATGTGGGGCATCCTCTGGGAAGGAAGTTGTTTCTGTTTCTGCTCATGAATCAATTCCAGAAGGAGAGAGTACACATGACGTTGAAGGAGCGGCGACCATAAATACGGCTGCTGTAGCTACCGCTGTCGCTGCTACTGCATCTGCTGATGTTATGGCGATAGATAAGGATGCATGTCGATCATCAGGAGATGAACCTCACCAAGCTGAAGCCAAAGATCATAAGGATACGGCTGCTGTAATGGAAGAAAAGGTACTTACGGAAGGAATTTCTGAGGTGGACACAAACACAGCAGGTGGTGATGGGACAAATGAAGGTGTGGTGATTAACGAAGGGCCTTCATCTGAGAGTAAAGTGGAAGGATCTGCTACACGGCAAGACATAATAACACAAACCATTGAAGATGTTGAAACATTGTTTGCCAGCAAAACGCACGAAAGACTATTAGGACTTCTTGGGGCTGTTCTTCCGCAGGATTCAAAGGTGCAAACATGATGTTATATCTACTGGGTTATCTTCTTAGAGAAAGCTACTAAGAATCGGAATACTTTTAACTCGTTGATCAACGAATGCTTCTTGATTTTTATTTCGCTGAAGAGTTTGATAGTTAGTTACCTTTTTCTCGTAAAACGTTTGTGCCTGCAATCGTTAATCATTCTTCACCATTGGCGAAAAAAGCATTAATGATTTAGTTTTATTGTTTCTTATGTTATCAAGTCGTAAGAGGATAAGAGTCACTGATGTAACTGGGATAAAAATATACTCTGAATTTTCTTGTTATGTAATCGCTGTATGTTTTTTCCTCTCCTCAGTTCAATCGCTGGACATCTTACTGCTCTGGAGTTGAAGAGTTTATATCGGACAAATTTCTTCCAACGTTGTTTAAGATTATTAGGTGCGAGCCATTTTTAAATCTCGTCACGAGAAGATTGAGAAAAGTAATGCTGAAGTGGTGTTGTTTTTTTTTTTGAGCAGGGACGGCGAATGTGACGACAAAACGAAAGCTCTTGCCCTTGGAATTCTTGGAAAGTTTTTGCAGTGCACCAGCCCTGTGGTGAGTGTTGTTTCTTTTAATGGGTGTGTTTGTTTGCCATTTGAGGCTGCGTTTCCATGTTGTGATGATTGCAGTGTACACTCCACCAAACAAGCATTCTTTACTTTGTAAGTAAATTCTTTTAGATACCTCCCAGAAGACACAAAACAGAGATATCGCCAGGCAAAGTTTTTGCCTCGTCCCACTAAAGGGTATATGTTGTTACAACCACAGTCAGGGTTACAGCACCACCTACCCTTTTGATTTATTGTATTTTATCCCAGTGTGGTAATATGTTTTATCTTGGTGATTCTGACTTCTACGTTATCGATAATTCGACAGTCTCCATTACTGACTGAATTATTTCTTACTGTGGTATTCAGGTGTCTGATCGTGGTGTATCGCTCTTTTACACTTTACCTGTCAAGACGGAAAGTGAGATCAGCAATAAAGAGGGATCATCAGGAAACGCCACTGTTGAGTTTCTCTTTCACCTTGGAGCAGAGTATTTAGCGAGGTGGGTATTATCATCAAGGCTTCGAAATGGTATATTTTCAATCTTTGGCGAACTCGCTTTGTTATTATTTTCTTTGGATATAACGAAAGAGGCGAAAGGATTAACAATCGAATTTGTCCGTTAATTTGTTTGGTTGGTTTGTTGCAGATCTGATCTTAATGCGTCCTCGTGTATGGCATCCACATTACAACAATTGGCAAGTTCATCTCACTGGCAGCCAAGTGTAGCAGATTATGTTGGAATGTGTCTGGAGCGTTTGGCTCAACCGACTGAGGTAAAAGATTCACAAAGTTTTCGGCCCTCAAGTAATGTAACGTTTTTATGCTAACGTATCTGCTGATTTTCAAGTTATCCTACTTATTTATTTGCAGAACGTAGATTTAAGTGCATTGTTTGGACTGCTTGTCTTCGCAAGATTTCCTGATGTAAGTCTACTTTACTTGAAGGGCGATAAGTTGGGACAATAAATACAACTTTTATATCAAGACTGGATGAGAAGTGACTGACGGAGGGGAAGCTCGATACTGGTTCAACAGGGCTCTTAAGCGTATTTTCTTTTATTATTGTCATTTCAGTTTGTTCGTATGGGGTCCGTGGTTGAAATGAAGGATCCAAGTGGAGAGAAGCGGAGAGCGGTTGTGTTCAAATATTACCTTGATAAAGGAAGTGTTACAGTAATTGATGTCAAATCTCGTAAAAGGAAAACGGTAAGAAACTCTTCTCACTTGCTCTCGAACCAAACACTTCGCTTTGACGCACAAATTTTTATTCATTAACAGGTCAAGGAGCACCTTTTAGAAGAATCCTCTTCTCTAAGTGAAACTTTCAAGACTTCAAGGTTTTCTGTTCTTCTGGACATCGTCGTAAAAATTCTTCATCTTCTTAAAGATAGTAAGTCTTCAAGCCTTCACATGCAATTGCTCTTTAGGTTAATTTCTGTAGTTGGCGCTGCATTTGTTGGAGCCACTTTCAACCAAGGAACCTTCCAATCTAAAGAATTTGGTGCTTTTTTTTTTTTTTTTTTTTTTTTTTTTTTTTTTTTTTTTTTTTAAACAGAAAAGACTGTTCCAGTGGAGAGAATGTGGGTTCTATATCTTGGACTGAAGGGCCTACTTGGTAACATTAAGGTATTCTGATATTTAACACGTTTTAATTTAATTTAAATGAATATGAAGGAATGTGCTGACCCAGTCAATCGATTTTGAAACACGTTAGTCAAGGAAGAAGTCGTGTCTTTCGAAATAATCTTGCGCCAACATCTGCCACAAAGTAGCTCAGTTTGGGAAGTTTCTATTATTATAGTTTAGAGAAGCACTATCTACAGCTTGATTAGAACTCGTAGCAAAAGCATCCAATGCATAATTGTTTCCGTATAGGTATAAAAACTCTCATAATTTTCCAGGCAAATTCAAGTTTAAGTCTGAATTCAGAGATGGTGGCCAGTGGTATCGTTCCTTTGCTTGTTAATATCGCCTGTCAAGGGACTACATTCAGCAGTCAGTGGATTTTACGAGATTTGGAGGCGAGTATAGCCATTAGCAACAATCATTTCTTCAGAGCGTTCTACTACAAATTACAAAAAAGCAACATACAGTTGCTAAAAAGATCAGGTCTGAACACCGACTGGAGAACTATAGCGAGTTAGACCTACTCGCAGGCAAGGTAACACGCAGGGGGGGTGGGGAGCAGATATAGCACAGTGATGAGTATGCTTGTCCCCATCACTCAGGTTCGGGTTTGATTGCTGGAGTTTCTCGTCAATCTTGATTGCTCGGAGGTTTATCTTTAGATACTCCGGTTTTCCTCCCTCCCAGAAACCAACACTCCGAGTTCCACTTCGACCGCTGATAACAGTGGACTTAGAACCACCTCGTGAATTTGCCAAAATTTCATATCCCTGTCATTTATCTTTTTTGTTATCGCTGTTATTCATTCTTATGGTTAAGATAGTGACATTTTCTGCTGAACGAAGCCAGCCTTTTTAATACCAGCGGAATTCTAATCCAATTGCTATCTGTTGTCACTAAAACAGGTGTTGTCTCTCAAATTGTACAAGTCAGAGCGATTCACCACACCATCTCCATCTAAACCGGCTGAAAAAGATGAAAGTAAAACGCCATCGAAGACTTCACAGGAAGCTGAACCAACAACAAATGATACCTCTGCAACGGTAGAGACAACAAAGACAAATAATTCAGTGAAAGAAGAAGAAGAAGGCGGGGGTGATCCCTTTGAAGGGCTTGATGATATCACCAAGACATGCTTCGAGGTTTGTACTCTGTTAATGCGAATCTTGGCTCACTTATCTTGATAATAATTCATAATTTTTATCTTTATTTATGGATTTGGACTTCTTTTCACCTTTCATAGACTATCTACGAAGCGATGAATGTTCCTTGTTCCGTACTTAGAGCCATTTATGAGAATGTAGAACATGATCAAAGCCGGCTGCTGGAAGAAGTGCAGAGAGGGTCAGTAACTTAATGGGACAAAAATCTTCGAATTCTAAGCGATTGTAGAAGATATTTAACAATCTGATTTTTACTTTGTGGTGCGTGGTTTTCTTGCTCTTCTTATCCTGTTCTATCAAGAAACACCAGAATTCACTTTCGATTAAGACGTTCGCGAAGTTAGGTAGGTAGGATGATTCTGTGATGAATAATGATTGACTCATCACGCAACATTCGTTCCACTCAAAAGAAGAGGGGAGCCTGGAGCCTTGAGCCTGGAGTAACGTTTTGGAAAAGGAGAATCGCTTTACCCAGACACAAGCTAAGACGGTCAAAATGTCTCGTGACCCGCACATGGACTGATAAACAATACTGCCATGTTTTTTTTAATATTCCAGGTTTGATGGCGCAGGTTTTCAAGTATCGGACGAGGTTAGAGAACAAGCTAAGAAGTGGTAAGTAAGTATTAATTCATTTTGCCCATTATACGCACTTGGTTCGAAGCCTCTTTCAATTACTCGGTTGGTTGGTTGGTTGTTCATTTATTTGCTTCATTGCCTTTTTATTCTTCGGTTAGCTAAAATGTAAAATGCTCAGATTTGTTTTTAATCTCTGCACGATTGTTTTCTTTTTCTTTCTGAAGTTTTGCTTCTCTCATCAGGGTAGCTATCCAAAAGAAACCTGATGTGAACTCGGCGCCAGGCCCTGTTGTTGACGTTGGAGTTGTTCGTTATACGACCAGTGAGATATTACCAAAGAATGTCCAGGCCAAAGCTGAACAAAGCGAAGCGGCTCAAAAGTTGATTCCTTCGCTTAGTGATGCGGAAATTGAAGAGGTAAGTATTACTGCGTCAGGCCACGAAGGCGTTTCACACGATAAAAGAAACTTAAAATAAATACTTTTTTTTTTTGGACATCTTTGATTCTTTTAGACTCGCGAGAAGCAGGCTCGCACTAAATCAGCTGAGTTGTTAAAGAAGGAACTCGAAAGTGAAGAAAACTTGGGAAGTACAGAGTATCTTACCAAGGTAAGGATGTCTTTGCTGTTTTACTCTCATTGCTGGTGTTGCAACTTGCCTTACCGGCTTCTTTATTTGTAAACAGTGATAGTAACAAAGATAAATTCAAAGAACCCGAAAGTGTTGAATTCGTCATACAACCTCAAAATCAAAAGCGTCCACGCAGCGTTAGCGATTCCATTCCCTTTTCAGCAATTACGTGTCCATAATAAGATTGCGTGATCTCAAAACTAATCACAACATTCTTAACGAACTGTAGTCCTTCACTAATATACATTAACAAGTGGCTACTTATTTGTTTATAGTTTGAAGTATGATAATATTAAATAATTTTTATTATTTGTAACGCTCTCTGATGCTTTTATTCCTGATATAGGTTAATCTTGCTCTGTCAGTGATCTACTCGCGGCATTTGATCGCCATTTTGCTGGGACAATGGCCACAGGGTCATGTGATCACATCTGAGCTGATGGACAACAGTGATGAAGTACAGTTCATTGGTTTGCTGGACATATTACAGAGACTAGAGAATAAAGAACTGTTTGAAAAGGTATGAGACCTGCCTATCCACTCTTACAACCTCAGTTCTTTACTAACGGTATTTGTTTTACTTTAGTAGAAATAAAGATGTTTGTGCTTCTTATTGACTTAAAATCTTTGAGAATTTTATATGAAGGAATAATCCCTAAGCCTCTTGAAACAATATATTTTAAAATGCTTTCTCTTGCAAAGACGACATAATGTTTGCATAAATTTCTTCACTTTCATGCTTTCTTTCTCCAAGGGCATGTTACATTCCTCCCAAGACTCCATCCTACACTATCCCCCCCCCCCCTCTCCCTCCTAAGGAAGCCTCCGCTGGTCTAAGCCTCACCCTTGTAAAATTACCCCTGTTCCACTGCCTGCCACCTGGCTGCACCCACCAAGTGCTAAACAACACTGTATCTGCTATGTCAGGTGGTGAGTTCAGTTGTACGGTGTGGAGACCCTAAACTGGTTCATCCTTTGTCTCTTGCTGCCGCTCACTGCATGGGTGAAGTGACCCTGTCAACTGAGACCAGAGAGTCTGAACATAAGTATCCGAATGATACAGTGAACGAGGTAAGACTCCGCACTCAATTTTTTGGGTAATTTTTTTACTGGTATTATCTTGATAGGAACAACTTTATGTATTTCCGAGAATCTTTTTATGGACATCATCTTAACTTAAGATAAAACAAATCTAAATACAACATTATACAGATATGTGAAAGTGACAAACGCATCTGCTGCCCTTTTTTGTTGTTTATTTTTACGCGCTTTTTCCACGTTGCCCAGAGATGCGCTTGGCCTTGAGAGACAGTCAGTTAGTGAGTAGGCTCTTTGCTGGTCCCATCTAAGTCCCCTACTAATGGACTTAGTGTCTCGAGACACTTCTATATTTCCACGTTTCTTTCGCGTTTAAGCAAAGGCGAGTTACAGCCGCCTCTTCTTATTCCATACACAGGGAAAAGTACACATTCCTGGCGCTGCTACCCTCTTTGTCAAGTTTGATCCAAGGTGTGTGACCTTAATGTATTGTTCTTTAACTTTTTATAAGTTAATTTTTGATCAAATCCAACGTGAATTTGTTTCATTATTGCACAACCATCAAATTGTGAAACAAATTTGTCATTTTTGTTCCCTTTCTTGCCTTTTCAGATGTTCCACCGAGGATGGATGCGATGAACTGCGGATTGCATCCTCAGCTGACTATGAACAAAACAAACACGTGTTTTCTGGTCCCAGTAGTCGATGGATTGATTTGGAAATACCAGGTTTGTAAAGCATCATGGACCAGACACAGATGATCCGATCCTGAACATGAGGAATAAATACATTTTTAAAACTTTATGTTTTGTTTCAGGTGACACTTTGTATTACATATTCACTTCCGACAGCAGCACCAACGACTGGGGCTGGAAATTTGTAGTCACTGGCGGCCAACTGGGAAGGTAACGGCACTGACACATTGCAAAACAACACCTCAAGGAGTGACTCGCACTTTGAATAGAAATGCATCTGTTCTAGAGTGCTATCTGGCCATTGAATAATTGGATGAAAGGTTTTTTTTTCCTTTTTTCACGTATGTCTAAACTTAAGAGGGGTTTTGTTTATGCTTTCGTTTAGATTCAAGACTGGCTTTACAATGCTGAATGCTATGCTGTCACTGGATAACAAAGTTGCCAGGTATTTCTTGATGGAGCCAAATTTTTGTCATCCAGCAAACCCCGTATGTGCTTTCATTCTCTTTAAGCAAACTGATGTTAACATGGGTGGTTTTTTTTTATCATTGAATTGAATTTCTGTCACTGATGGGCTGATTTTGTTCATTCCCAGGTCCTTGCCAATCAAGACGTTATGGGTTTGGTTGGTATCAGTAGCCTGCTGCCAGACTGGTCAGCAGCGTCTCATGGCGACTGGCTTGCTGCTGCGACTACTGTTAGTCGTGTCAGGGTAAGACATGTATCATAGATCGGTCTTTAGACACGGAGCAACTCATTTTAATATCACAGAACAGTTAATAAAAATAAGGTTACTACTTGTAGAGTTGAGAACTCTGCATGAACAGATGATACGATTATGTAATATCCGTGGTTCGTAATTTTTTTCCATGGCAGACAAGTGTTGGAGAGAGATGGGTCGTGTTCAGTTCCAATGGAGACAAGTGATCGGCCAGACCTGAGTTTGTTGAGGCCCCTGTGGTCTCTTTATACCAGCATGTTGGAAAAGGAAGGAGGTCGGTATACACAACGCCTTTTTAATTTTTTGATTAATCACTTATTTGTACCAATTCTTTAAGAAACCTTTTTTAACCCTATTTCTAATAGCTTATACGACTAGAGAACTTTTAATTACGTATAATATATTACTTTTCGACGTGTAACGCATCAACCCGGTGTTGTTTTCCAAACTGTTGTATTTTTGTATTTATCCCTTTAAGCCAATCAGTGTTGGCCATTGAATGATGTTCCTCTTCTATCAATAGGTTCTGGATCAGTTCCTACTTTGGTGTCTCCTGTACTTCGAGGACTCACTGAACTCTTTTTGATGGTGGAAAACCTCGCACAGGTCGCTGTAACAATTTACTGATTATCTTCTTAATCTACATATGGTTATATAACTGTAAATATTGTTCTTTCTGCAAAGTTCTTTACTTTCTGACTGATTTTACATTTTACTTTCCTCAATTAGGACTGGGGCACGGCTGAGGACCTCGTGGTTGGTTTTACAACAAATGAAAGTTTGAAGCGATGCTTCTCACAGGTAAATAAAGATAATTAGAAAAGTTACCGGCTTTAAACTTTTTCATCCTAAGATCAGTATGCACATTCTCCATACTGTTTTCTATATATTTCCCAAGGTGCTTACGTGGAGAGTTTGCTTAATAATCAAAAGCTCCGGTATTTGTTGATCGTTTCCATTATTCTCATGAATTTAATGTTAGATTCAGGGGGGATACTGTGAGGAGAAATTAGAGGCTAGTCACTCTTAGGGGTTAAAGGGTTAAAAGTAAATACAATAACTAACAAATTACTTTATTATCTCGAAACTCTTGGAAGGGAGTTGCTTACCACTCAGAAATCCTCATTTACAGTCTTATTTTATCGATGTTTGGAGAAATCAACGCAATGCTCAGAAATAAATTTGTGACTTCGTTGAAAATTTTTAAAGGGACACAGCTGTAGTAAATAATTACACATTAGTTGTCTCACTCGCCATAGGCCGTGCAAAAGGTTGGTCTCATTGGTCTTGCTATTGGACAAACAAACAAGGCCTCTGAAGCCCTTATCAAGGCTGCCTCTAATCCACAACCGAAGGCGGATGAATCCAAAAAGGTACGGAAATCCGTTCTGTATTCAGACTTTGTATGTTGATAAAAGTTGAGCAAGTCATACATTTTCATCTTTCTCAACAGGAGAAGTCAAAGGTAGACTCCTCTGTAAGGTGAGTCAGCGATCTCCTGGCTTTTGAAGGATTTCGCTATATTATCTCAGTGACTTTGTTGAACACAACTGATATGTTGTATAGTTATTCTAATTATGCAGCTGTTTCTAGATTTGATCTTGAATATTAAAGAAGGATGCTCTATGGTGTTCACTTGATGAAATCAGTTTTAGGTCCTCGTTATCTCACGAATCATAGAAATGAAAACCTAACTTTTAAGAATTATATTGACATTCCACTTCACTTGAATTGGCACAAATGTAGTTTCCATCCTGTTACAAGTTATTTTCTGTGATATTCAGCTTCCAGCTACCTTTTCCTATCACCATTGGCGGGGATGATAATGAAGATGACACGACAGGAGATGGATCCAGTGATGACTCGGACGATAGCAGCTCCTCTGACTCCTGGAACTGATCACGTGACTCAATGTCACAACACCGACTGGCTGTCAATTCGTTTATTTGAAGTCACGTGAACACTATTCTGAGGAAAGTGAAATGATTCAAGAATTAAACATGATCATTCTGAGGATCACGTGTACTCAAAGGATGAACAGAACCATCAAGTAGTTCAATTTCTCTGATCTATTGGGTAGTGGCTTGATTTGGTATTTTAATCACTGCCTTAAAAACAGATAAGTATGGATGGACAGTGATTCTTAATGGAAACTGAAATCCTAGGTTTGAATGATGCTATTAACTGTCAGAGACTGAAAAAACTGGCAATCATTTTCGCAGGTTAAACAGGAGTTTTAAATCCTGTTTTTGTCAACATAGACATTCAATATTGCAGTTTTATAACGTCAATCAGGTTATCGGCCCTGAATCATCTTTAATTTTCAAAAGCGCAGACTAAAATTGAAACTCAAGTGTACCACCTCGGCATGGTACGTCGACCGATCCTCTGAACTTAAATTGGCTATTATTGTTACTTCCACTGTTACTGTTACTGCGCGGGGTCAAGTCACGTTTACTCGCTTTGGCAATGTGTAACTCGATGAATGTAATTCATACCCTTATCTTGAGACCTAAAGATGAAAGAAGTTTCGAAGAGTAATCTGCACTTAGTCAAATCCAAGATTAGTTCTTATGCTAGAGCGCTTTAGTTGAGAATATAAAGAAAAACTGACGTAAAGCGATGAGCTTTTCAGGCAATCACCCCAATAGAATTTTATTAACGCTACTTCTCTGTATTGAATGACGTACTCATTTGGCATTCAGTGTAGTACAATATTTCTGAATAAAGACACTTCGTTGGTGAAGAAAAATTCTCGCTTGTTACGTTTGTTATGGAAAGGAAATCAGGTTTTCAGTTTGCTGATGAATTCTCTGGTAAGCACGTCGAAACTGTTCAAAGGAATAGTGGAGGCTTTTGAAAACGCCTGATAAAAATGTGTCACATGCTGTTGCTTCCATCTTTTCTTTATAAGATAACGAACACTTATGAAAACACTTTATTGTGAGCGTGTTTTGTTTGCCCTTTATAATAGAGGTTGCACCAGTGGAATCGCCTTTTGTCACCTGTCAATCAATTTTTCAGGACGTAAGTTTCCTGCGCAAATTTGTTAGCAACTTTCATTGAAGTCGGCGGATATGGCAAAGAATTCGTTTCGTGCAATCCCACAGAAAGAAGTTGGGAAGTGAATCTGAGTGTTTTGATTGTTTGATAACCTCGCCTGGAAAGTATGAATAAATTTTCGGAGAGAATTCCGACGATGTTACCGGAAAAAAGCTTCATCCTCTAGCAGTGGACATACGAGAAAACTCTGAGTACAGCGAGTTGTGGGTTTGTAGAAACGTATAACCTGATTACCACCATCTAATACTATTCATCAAAGGAGTTCAAAGAAATTAACTGAGGAATTAAATGAAATCTTTAATAATTTGTTTGAGAAAACTGGAAAGGTTGATGTTGAAAACAGATCACTCACCCAACTAAAGACCACCTATGTTTGATTGACATTGACATTCTTCAGACATTCTGTTTCAACAAGAACTACGTTTGGAAGTTTTCCCTTGCTGGATCCTTTGTCTTCAAACGCAGAAGCAAAAAATGGGTGCAAGCTCATCCGTTAGGGATATCGTTTGAGAAACTAGTCAACAAATTAAAAGGTATGGTTAGGGGAGGAGGGGTTACGAAAGGAGGCGGAGGCTGATGGGTGCATGTGAAGCATGCCGGAACTGATGTTATTCTTTGGGTTTCATTTATTTTGTGGACCAAACACTCTTAAAATGGTATCCCGCTCTTTATGTTAAGAGCTGTGTTCCCTCCATACTTACTACTGTTATTTCTTTAATTAATTTTTTTTTAATCGTCCTAAACAATTCACGTTAGTATAGATTAGACTGCACGTTCCAACGTCGGTGTTACCGTGATAGCATGGCATGTTCTCAACGCTTATTTCACGCTGTGGTTTAAAATATGTTTATTCATGACGTTTAGGTCTATTTTATGTAAACTTAACAACGCTAAACTAAGTAAGTACTTTTAGCAGCTCATTAATGAATCAAAATGCTACATAACTGCGTTAGTACTATGGTATACTCCACATTAAGGTTAAGGGAACTTAAATACTCAAGTTACATCGCAAAGGGTGAAAGGCAACGATCTAACCATGCAAGTGCCGTGAGAGAAAAGTAATATATGCAAAGCTTGGTTTCAGGCATGATAATAGTTGAATTAAACAAGGCAGCAGTCACGCCATCTTACAATGAGAAAATTTCCTAAATTACAAAGGTTGTTACTCCACTTAGAAACCCAGAAGAGGAAATTTAAATCGAAAGGAATGTTACTTGAAATCCATCAAATAATAATGCATCACTATCTTCATATCTTGATTGTTTGGACCCGGTTCCTGTTCCACAGCTCCTTCGTCTACAGACCCCGACCATGCCGGCATATCTTGTTTCCCAAAGTATCGAATGGTGCACCTTTCGCCAAAATTCTCAGTTATACTCTTCTCGGAAAGAAACTTGAATTGCGTCGGCGTATTCTCTGGAGACTCAGGAGCAAAGAACTCAAGAAAATAACGGCCATCTGGCTTGAGGCAGCTGAGCATGATGTCTGTGTACTGCTTGAGTCGACCTTCCCTCATCATGTTGATTGCGGTCATGGATCCGCGATCCCAGATAAAATCAAATTTACCTCCAGCTATCTTGGCCGAGAAATCGAAGATACTACACTCGTACAGTGTGATATTCTTTCCATTGTTTTTGAAAACGGTACCTTGATTCTCAGGAGACAATGACACGGATTTCTCGTTGTAGGTCAACTTGTTGTCACGAAAAAATAACTCGATTCCCTTCCGGATCAGTTCAACACCTACAACTGAGTGTCCTTGATCGGCTAACCAGATCATGTCCAAGGACTTTCCACAAAGAGGCACCAGGACTCGGAGATTTTTTCTTCCACGCGTAACTTCGTCATGATGTTTTGTCAACATGGCGTTCACTTCGTCAGTGTGAAATTCAGGGTTGTCGGTTTCCCAGTCTTGAGCCCATGTCTCTTTACTTTCCATGTCAAATGAAGCAATGTGTTCTAAGTTTTCTTTAGCATCCATTTCCACCGCTTATTTACTCCAGGCACAAAGATCGAGCTTTCTGGAGTTTTCCAACGAAGACGCTGATAAAAATACTCAGTGCTGGTTGAGACTTGAGTCAAAGAGAAGACTGGAACCAACCAACCAACCAACATTTACGCATCTTCTTACCGACGACCAAGTCACGAAAGAAGCCATTTTTCTTTCTGTGATTGATAGCGGTGGTGATTGCGTTGGTGATTAAGGGAAATTTGCTTTCTTGTATCTTCTGGCGTGATTTTTATTGCGTGTCGTTATATTCGTGACTGACTGAAAACGGATGTAGCCAATGTCACGCGACGATACTGTTAGAAACGTTCGCACTACTGAATGAATAGTAGATTTTATGTGTGTGCGTAAGTTAAAGCACAGCTCTGGCTATGTCAACTGAATGAAGTATTGGTGTTTTTTGAATAAAAATTACGTTTACATGGGAAGATTAGGTTTTCCTAGCCCTTTTATTTGGGTTTAAAAGTCAAACTTCGACAACTACACGAGTTTCTTTGGATTATTTTGACTTTTGGAAGAACTTTCAGAGAATTGAGTTTAGAAATTAAGTAGGCTATTTCCAAGGTGATTTTTCATACCAAATCTGAAGTGTGGAAAATTGACGTTTCATTGTAGTCTCGTATACCATTGTTCAATGATTGCATACGATATCTTCAATTTGACAAGAAACGTCATCTTTCGGAAAGCTTTATTAATATGAAAAAGTCGGTAGAAATTAATATCACTCATGGCGGAATATAAAACATTTAATTTACTGCGCTCGCTTCTACCTCTTTATAGGCTAAATTAAGGCAGTTTTTCTGTTTTTTTTAATCTTTTTTTTTTTTAACTCATACTTAGACACAATTTTCAGTTTTCATCGGCTGTTGAAATAGCGCTTTTGCTCAATTTACATTGCATCAGAGAACAAATAGAAATTTTTTCTTTTAATTCAAATAGCAATACAATAACGAAAAAAATTATGTCTGTCTGGAGATCAACACGATAATGAACCTTGGTAAGGGAAAATTCTATTTACTCTTGCTTTATGAAATCTTTACAAGGAAATAGGTTTACCTGCGCCATTTTTTTTATGTGAAAAATCTTACGAGGGTCATGAGGGAATTCCTGTGTGACGCGTTTCTGCTATTCTTATCCTCAGGCGATGATGTTGAGGGATTTTACTCGACTATTGTCACTAATTGTGTTTTGAACAGCTTCTTATCTTACACTGCTGTTATGCTGAACTTTGTGACAATTTATGCAATAACCAAAACTTCGTCACTATTAGGACCTTTGAGAATGTTACTGACAAGTCTTGTTGTTTCTGATCTTGGTGTGGGTTTGCTTGTGCAGCCTTTTTACGTAGCACTGATGGTCATGACGCTACAACAACAGCAGGCAACATGTATTACTTACTCTTTCTTTGCTTTTGTTGTATACCTTTTTTCCGGAGCTTCGTTTCTGAGCATCATATGTGTAAGCGTGGATGGATTCTTGGCAATACGGCTGAATTTACGGTACCAAGAACTTCTGACTTCCAAACGTGTCACTGTTGCAGTGATCTTAGTTTGGCTGTTGTGTTCCACATCATATCCATTGATGTTCGCTATACTTCCACCGAGAACTGTTCACATTACATTGGTTTCACTCGGGTTAGTCTGCATCCTACTTAATTCTATGGTGTTTTTGAACATCTATTTCATCGTGCGACGTCACAGCAGACAGATTCAAGCTCAGACACAACAGCTGTCGCAGAATGGTGCAATGTCAAATACTGCAAAGTACGGAAAATCCGCACTTAGTTTGTTTTATTTGTACCTTCTTTTCTTAGTTTGTTATTTGCCACAGCTTTGTGCTTTTATCGTAATGATAAAAAATGGAAAGTCTTCGTGGAGAATGCGGAACGTTCTTACTTTCACAATGACTTGGGTATTTTTAAAGTCATCTTTAAACCCTGTTATTTGTTTTTGGAAGGTGAGACATATCAGGCGTGTCATAATGATTTCTCTACGTAAATTACTACCAACTTGAGAATCAAGACTATCCATATCGTGAGATCGCTATAAAATGATACTATGGTTATCAGTGGATTTTCTTTTATATTCACGGAAATTATTTAATTCGTCTGAATCAATGTATTGAAGGCTAAACTATTAATCTGAATCAATCAGTTAGTTCTAACAGACATCATGAGGCTTTCTGAATTCTCAAGACGACTGCGATCTGCTTGGTTGTTAGGCTTAAAAGTCACTTAATTAGCTACATAAAAAAATAAAATAAAATAAAAAACAGTCATAGTAGTGGGTTGCGTATTTTTGTCATAGCTTGTAAAGTGATTTTTCAGAACTCCAACAACATATCACAAAAAGTTGACTGTTCAATAACGAGATGCAATTTGATTACCCTCACGGGAAATGGCGGAGTGAATGAAATGAAAGTGAGAAGGATACTCTGAGGTGGATTTCTATATCTCATCTGCTTTTCTTCTATCATTACATTTGTACCACTTCCATCACTCCCTGAAGTACAAATTGAAGTTGAGTTCGCTACGAATTTAACGGCTGTCGATATGTGTTCGTGTGATGGAGATTGTGAGCGTAAATATCTAACAAGCAAATGTCCGTATGAGTGATGATAGCAAATCACAAGTTGGTAACAACTTGCAAAAGTGCAAAAAAAAATAGGTCATTGCCGGGTTGATTCGTGAGTGTGCTGATATTATTTCAGGCCCGTTATGAGATTTGTTTAATAAATCCTTGATGTCACATTGAAAAACGGTGTAAAAGATCGCTTCCGTTATTGGAGTCATAAAGCGAGTTAAGCCATTTGTGCCTCAATCCACCCTATTCAATATATACAACTCACTAGTTCAATCTCACTTTGATTACTGCAGCCTAGTATGGGGTAATTGTGGCAAAACATTATCTAACAAGGAACAAAAACTACAAAACCGTGCTCCACGTGTAATAGCTTCATCAAACTATGACGTAGAAGTCGATTGCTTGTTTCACAAACTTAGCTGGAAAGATACTCAAGAGAAATTTCGTATGTCCGCGCGGCCATGTAATATCCTTGATCTATTTTAGCTTGACTGACTCTATGCATTGGTATGTCTTTTGGGATTTACTTTCCCTAAGGTTTTCAAATACTTTTAAAAGTTTGGTCGCCCTTTCTGATCTTCAAAGATGTGGTTTAATTTTGTTGAAACAAAAGTGTATTCAATTAGTAACAGGAATTATTTAGCTCAGGTTGTTGCCTTCTGTATATCTATTATTTAACTCACATTCGTCTACCAAAATCACACGGAAAATGACAGAAAGGCGCTATCTGTGAACAACAATAACAACAACTTTTTCCGTGTAAAGAAAAGGAAAACGTGGCTTCTCTGGTTTACTTGAAAATTTGCCTGACAATAGATAAAGTAGGCTATCAGCTGGATCCTAGGGATCACTCTGGGAAACGGACACAAATTCTCACGTAGTTGAATAATACAGTTTTCACTGGTTCCAAACGTTCTATGTTTGTGATGTGAACTGGGCACATAGCCGTAACAGCAGCCTCTAACGTCATCCTAACCAAGGACATGAGATACAAAATGCAGAAAGGTAACACTTCTTACCCCTGATTTATGTGGCGTATATTACACTTATCTGTATAGCTCTAGAAATTGACTTAAAAATATCTAAGACTATTCAGCTATACGCGGTTATAAGACCCCGTTTACTTTAATTATAAGTCATGGATTCCAAGAGGAATTTGTCTTGGAAATATTTCTCTCACAATTCCGCATTTGTAAAATTCATTGAAAGAATTTTGTTGTGTTGTTTGTAATTAATCCGTTTGTGAAATACTCCACTTTCTTTATATATCAACTCGTGAAACTTCGAGTCATCCACAGATAGTTGACACATAATTTAAGACTTGTTTGTTTGTGGATACTAGGATGGCAGACTATTTCCATCTCATAAGAAACGCTTCATTTGACTCAAATGAATTGATACACACTCGAAAAAAAAGTATATGGTTTCTAGTAAACCTTTCACCTTCATACCTGCGGAAAACAAAATTTTGGAGATAATTTATTGGAATCAAAGAGGTCTTTGGAAAACTATGACATTAAATGTCCGTTGTTTCAAGACTGATTTCCATGATAAAGCAGTTCAATCAAATTGTCGGAATTTCATCTAGAAATTAATTGACATCCTTGACTTTGTCGTTAATTTGGAAATTCACTTCTAGCACGAATTTTCAATAAGGAAGAGTATGTAAATTAAACTTTCAATGTTTCTTTGCAGTAGATAAGCATATTGCAGCCGTACTTCTGGGTATTCATATTTCATTAAGGTTACAGCTGGAAAATTTTTCGTCGAAGGAGCTCTTGTCGAGCTTTGGTCATCAATTGTTCGTTGAATGTCAGGGAGTAAAATAAGTCCCCTTGAACTTTGCTGTTTTCTGAATTTCCAAACAGTGAAAAAAAATGTTTTTCTTCTTAGGGTGAAAAGCTAAGATGATAAAGAAAATTATACAATTGATATTGGTTGCAACCACATGTGTGATGTTTGAGGCGTTTATTGCACACACAGTCGCCACAACCGGGTTTGAGATCACCTTAACACAGGAGAAGATCTACGAAAGACTGGAAGGTAACGCTACCAACTTCGATTGTTCTAGGATCTTTTTTATTTATTTATTTTAAATCCTTCAGTACAGTTTTGAAAATTGACTAAAAGCTATCCAAAAGAAATTTTAAATCTATGAACAGTTTCTACCTCTCACTCAATTTAGGATCCTTTTTATTTCAATATATTTCATATATTTTAAGAGACGAGATATTTTCCTTGACTCAAAGTTTTAAATTTCACGATAAAGCATTTTTAACCAGTTGAATAAGTAATCAAACTGCAGGTGAAGTTGTTGTTATGGTTTTTTTCCTCAACTTGTGAAACTTCGAGTTCGTCACAGATGTTTTACGTAAACAATTTAGAAACTTCTTTGTTTGTAAATACCGAGATGACAGCCTGTTCTCGTTTCATAACAAAAGCTTGTTTTGATAGAATTTAATAGATACAAGCCTTTCACAGACACTCCATTCCGTGCTCCCCCGTTGTTCAACTTCCAAATATTAATGATATTTCGAACAATACAGCGGTGTATCCTTTAATTTATTTTCAAATTTTCCTTGAGGCGAGAAGGAGGTGCGCTGCACTGGAAATCGAGGGCTACGAGAAGAAGGTGCACTGCACTAGCTTTCGAGGAATGGCTACTTCATTGTGTAAATAAGACGGATCCCGTTCTCTGACTGGCTAACTAAGTGAATAAGACAAGACGAGTTCCTTGCTTTGATTGGCTAAACGTGCGAGCAAGATGGGTCTATTTTGCCCAATACATGCTTTCATACCGCTAATATAACAAACACATAAACAAATAAAAGTCAAGCATATTGCCTCCAAAATATCTGCTAGGCTGGAAATGCTTTGGAAAGTTCGCAAAGTCATTCCTCAAGAGGCCTGTATCACACTCAATGACTCCATGATACCTTCACTGTTCGACTACTGCTGTGTAGTCTGAGAAGGCTGCGGTAAAACAAATCGGGACCACCTGGACAAATTGCAACTGCGAGCAGCTCGTATCATCAAAGAGCGTTAAGTGGAAAGTACAGGCAGTACTTTTAGCTGGCCTTCCTTAGAAAATCGTAGGAAATATCACACTTGCCTACAAGTCTTTAAACACCTACATGGTCTCCCGCCTGCCTATCTTTTGAGCGAATTTAGTTTTTCCCGCCCATATCATACCTACAATACCAGATATAGAGACCTGTTGCGATTATCTCTGGCTAAAACATCTAAATATCAAGGTTCCTTTCGCTACAAAGGGGCAAAGGCGTAGAATACTCTGACTAGTAAACTACGAAACATAACCTCACCGCCTAATTTTAAGAAACTTCTCAATTTCACCTATTAAATTAATGTAATATTCTTTGTTATGTAACGTATATTGTATATCTTATGAGTAAATTTTAATTTGTGTCATGAACTCCCTTTGTATTTTATATTTCTAAACAGATTTTGCTTTACTTAATATGTCCTAAGCAGGCCCCCATTCAAACCAGCTTTAAGCTGAAGAGGGCCAGCTTGCATTAATATCGCTTATAAATAAATAAATAAATAAAATAGAAGCAAGCAGACAAACAAGAGAAACAAAACAAATGAAATAGGAAGAGGGCTAGTTGTTTTTTATTCTTCTTATAAGCCGTTCATGTGGAGGGGACGGGGGAGAAGGGTTGCATGCGTTCCCAAAGTACGGTTAAGGATGAGACTATCAAGCTGCTGAGTAACATGAGATTTTTTTTTCCATTGGGATAAAGTTCGTTTTTAGCAGTATTCTTGTTTATGGAATGCAATGCCAAAACAGAACAACCTTTTCATCATCATCATCATCATCATCATCATCATCATCATTTATTTGCCTTTTTAACTATACAAAACATTTTTTTTACAGAATTATAATTTATAGAAGGCGAAGAGACCCAGGAAGCCACCGGGCTTGTGGGGAAGGCCTCCTGAACTAACTTTTCGCATGAACTAACAAAAAAGAAATCTTATTTCTCAGGATTTAAACTGGTTGGACACGTCACTGAGACCTTTTTTGCTGATGAATTTGAATGTGGACTTCGTTGTCTGACAACCGAAGGGTGTTTATCATGTAACATTTTCTCTGACGGAAAATGTCAGCTCAGCAACCTTACGTGGCAGTCGAGTCCAAATAACCTAAAGGGTACTGTGAGCTCAACGTATTACGGCAAAGGTACCTGAAAAATTTCATTATGGTCATTAGGCAGTTCAAGGAGTTACTATATTGTGCTTGAAAACGAAGGTAGCTTTGTTTATATATGCATACATATATTTTCCCTTACCCTAGGAGGCATTAAAAAGACTGATTGATGCATATTATAAAAGAAAGAAAAAATACAATAGAAATTTTTGTTAGTCAACCAGTTTTCTGCTCTTTGCAAATTTGGAGGTTAAGGGATTGAAGTTCATCATATAATCAAATTCAAGAGAAACACTCATGGCAATAATTCTGGTTTTTGATTGGTAGTCATGGTTGGGGTAATACTCAACATCATAGCGATTGGTCAAGTGTTCCGCTAGGAAGGTTTTCTCTTGGAAAAAGTGTTTTATCTTAAACTTAGATATACGAGGTTGGTTTTCGTCAAGACCTGCTATTTCATGCAAACACATTGTGGACGCTGAAGACTCAAAAGGAAAAGGAGAATATTGGATCGATCCCGAAAATGATGGAAATCCACTAAAAGTACTTTGTGACATATCAGATGACGGCTGTAAGTGTTTGATGATTATGACGATGAATTTAAGATGATTATCATGAGTTCATGACGATGATAAAAAAAGTAAACGATAAAGGTTTATTCTGATGTTGATTCGATGGTCTAAGCTATGTTCTTTAAAAAACTCTTTTCGATCGATATTAAAAAAACGTAGAGCAACGAGATGGTTATACCCAAATCAAAAAGAAGCTTCTGGATGAAGGAAAAAGTTTCTTAACAACCAATTCAGACTTGATTCAAATTTTAGAAAGTCAAATTCAAATTCCCGATAATGACTGAAAAAAGGGCCCGCGTCGCACGTAAGAACAAAGACATAGCATTAGAGGGAAATATGGAGAAACTTTTACATCAAAGCTGACAAAGAAAAAAACTCAAGAAGATTCATCCCTGTTTTCTCTCTTTCAGATTTAATCGGTTGGCATCATCAGCATCCTGGCCATTCTTGTAGGCACATTTTAGAATCTGGTGGCTCCGGAGGAAAAGGTGTTTACTGGATTGATCCCGAGAGAAATGAACAGCCTTTACTTGTGTACTGTGATATGACTACTGATGGTGGTATGTGATGTTTTTGTGTGGTGATTGAAAGTGGTGATGTGTTACATAGCCGATACTCTTCTTATATTTTTATTCCTTGTAGTGCTCAGTTGAAAATACTTTCATAAAACTTTGGTATATTTGATGCAATTTCTTTGCAATAGTTTTCTGAGCTTTACTAGGCTGATTTTGTTAACGGTCCCCTGACACTTCTGTTTCAGGAGGTTGGCTTCTTGTTTCTAACTATATGATTACCGGTTCAACTGCTGAAGATGGAGTCAAACTTGAAGGATCTTACCGTAAAATCTCCGAATATTACACCGAGAGGATGGCACTCAACTTGAATGCCATGAAAGAACTAAAAGAGTTTACGAATTTCACTCAGTTGAGGTTCTATTGCAGTAAACCTGGGGTTCGAACGCTTAACCTGGTCACAGCTCTCAACAGCACTGGTGAAGCTGTAGTCCAGTACTTCAGCGGTCAGACAAATGTCCAACCTGATGCCTGTGGTTCATTCATAAGATTGGATGATGACAACTCCAAATTAGCGCAGTCATGCCACAGGTGGGGTAAAGGAAATAATAATATCTTCTATGTTGGCAAATAGGGGAGAGGAAAGTCCCAAACAAGATTGATTGACTTCCCTATCTTTGAGTACAGTGCATTACGTTGGTCTCTTTACCACCACTCAGGCAAGTTTGACTGCGACGACAAGGGCGGTGCGGCCATACCTGGAAGTTTCTGGCAAGTCTTCGTTCGCTAAGAGTTCTTTTGTTTTAATCATATAATTTCAAACAAAATTTGTGCCACAGCTGCAAAACCATTCAGTGTTTTTTATTGCAATTCGATGTTGGGAACCTGAGTAGCTCAGATCGTGTGCAGCCGCTTGGCCGTGGAAGGTCTGGGTACAAGGGTATAGCTCACCATATCCTATCGGTGATTTTACGAGTCATATTTAATTATCATTTTTAGGAAAGTTAAAAGATATTGCATAAGTTAAGTTATTAAACAGACGTATTAGTGTGAATAACGAAAACGCCTTTCGATCAGTTTCGATTGATTGTCTCCTCATACATCCATCTGTCTGTCATAGACATTTTTTTTTTGTCCCTGCCATCAAATCAATAAATATTTCGTCACAGGTGGCTCGATCTACCAGTGATATGTAAAAAGTCTACTTCTTGCAATAAGAATCACTCATTACTGATTCAGTCAGCCGTTAATAAGGAAGTAGTTAGTTTTCTCTTCCATAAAGTTAATAACATTACACTCGGTTAAAAATGTAATGCTTATGAGCAATGATAATGTAAATGAAATATGGTTATTTTCTACAAAGCTCACTTTATTGAGATTGGTAGAAAGCATAAAAATTGGAGTGGGCAGTCTTTTCTGTTTGCTCCATATTGTAAACTGAGTATGTGTTCAGCTTTGCAACATTACTTTGTATGTGTAAATAAATCAAACAAAGAGACATAAACAGAGGTCACTAAATTTTTCCACTAATGCGTCTAATAAAAGTTGCATGATTCAACAAAAATAGTTTTCAGCATTTGGCCAGGACTAGTCAAGAAATAGAAGCAAACCTAAGAGTTGTTCTGTCCTCAGTTGTGATCACCCTTTAGCTGATACACATCCACTCTTATGTCTTTGAATATATTGTACAAAACGTGTTCTCTACCGGCCAGTAGAACTTGACTTCATCTAAAATACTTTTTCACCTTTTGCGATATAACCATTGTAATCTTGTATTAAAATTCTGATTATAAGACACTGAGTTACACAAAAATGTATATCCAACGTAGGTTTCCTTCGGGAAAACTTATAGCATCTTCACATTGGTGTTGTATTTTCGAGTTTATCCCAAGTGCTTCAAAAGACATCATCACCAGCTGTAAAAAACAATAAAACTCAGTTGTGCACAAAAATTGTCAAGTAATAAGATTTTTTACTAATCACATAGCTTTTAAATCCCTAGCGACAACAATTAAGTCGCATTATGTTCTGTATTTCATTTCGAATGTGTCTCATCTTCCAGCGGTAAATGACAGGATTGAGAGACGAGTTAAAAAACACCAGACTCCGTACATAAAGTTCGGGATTCACTAGTGTTGAGTTTTGTTTGTCGCTAACTATATAGGAAATATATACGCAATACACTGGCAAATAACAAACCAAAAAGACAACATATACATAAAACGTACTAACTGCAGTTTTTTCCGCCGGTTGAAGTTTTGTATCCCATAATTTTACGCTCCCTGTCGAACCTTTAGGGCTTGAATTTGGCTCTTGTGACGTCGAACAGCAATATAAATCCTACAGTAAAAAAAATGCTGTAAAAATAAAACAAAAAGTCATAAAAATAGCGACAATAAAGTGTGGAATGACGCTAGTAACCCACAGATCGAGCACTGAAAGAACTGCACTAATCATTCAAATGGAGATTACTACAGCAACAAGTGTGAGTCACGTGCGCTTGTGAGTCACAAGTTCCTGATATCCGAGATGAAAGTGAACAGCTAAGAATCTGTCCACCAATGATGGCAAGAACACCAAGAAAAGAGGCTTCAGATAATAACCAAACGATAAATGCCATGTAATTGTTGCAACGGAAACTCTCCTTAGCAGTGGTGAGTAAGGCAATGAACTATGGCAGCTCAAGTAAACTGACTCAAAGATCAGAAACTGCAAGACTCAGCAGTAATAGTTTTAAAGGCAACCCCATACACATTTGAAATACGACCAGGGTTTTTATTTTCCGTGATATTTCCGAGAATCGTTCGCAAAATCTTGGTCTGCCCCTCCTTGATTCTGACGATTATTGATCAGCAAGAGATTATAAACTCATGTGATCGGTAGGTTTTGTAGCAAAAGTTAAACGACCTGAATGGCTTAAACTTTCCTTCCAATTAGTTCGCATAACTTGCAGTGCGGCTTACATAACTGCAGCTTTCCACTGTCTCCTTTCTTACACTGAATATTCTCCACAGAACAATAAAAACAGCTCGTCTTATGTTCCTCATCTTCCAGCAGTAAACAATGGGATTCAGAAAAGAATTAACAAATGTCAAAGTCCAAGTGAACACTAGCACACGTTTTATTGCGGTCAAAGGTCCATAGAAAATTGCTGCTACAAATGAACAGTTCTGCGGTAAATAACAAACCATAAATACAAGGTACACGTAAAATGCACTGATGGCAGACTTTCGAAGGCTGTTAACACTAATCGATTGGCCATTTGGTGCAACTTGGTGAATTTTCAAGGCGTGGATTTGATTCGAGTGACATCTCACTGCTCGATAAATTTCATAATAACAAATTGTTACGGCCCCAAGGCAAGTAAACTGAATAACAGTATGTAGCCCTAAAGTAACATTTGATGGACTCCAAAAGGCCAACAATGGTAACAGAATACTAAAAACTCATATTAAGATAACCACAATAACAACTCGTTTGTGAGTCACAAGTTCCTGGTATCTGAGATGAAGATGAGCAGCCAGGGATCTGTCGACTGATCTGTCGACAGTTATAGCTGTGACAAATAAAAATAATGAAGCAGTGAAACCAGTCATGATCATTGTAAAAACAGAGTACATTACGCAGTTTGGAGTTTGACGTTGTAACCACATAACCAGGAAAGCGATAAATAATGGCTGAAGCGCTAAACCAACGCAAAGATCAGAAACAGTGAGACTCAGCAGCAATGTTTTCAATGGCTTTGGTAGTTGCATTGTTCATCATGACGATGGAAACGGAAAAGAAAATATGAAAATGGAATTAGCGATGTACGACCAGAAGAGATCATCAACTTCAGAACTTGACGGCTGAGAGTATCGAAATAATCTGCACAACGAATTTGTCATGGCCACGCTTCAGTTACTCAACACCAGGGGAAAACGGTACAACTGAATTTACGGCGTTTTCCTTTCGCACACGAAGTATTTCCTCGAATATCACCCTTCAACGTACTAGATAGGCATGTTTTTGTTTTTTTAGTACGCAGACAGTGGTTTTTTAATAGAAACGAGTCAAGGAGAGACTAAGATCTCGGACCGACGTTGATTGGGTTCAGTTCCTTTTCAGATTGTGGTTACAAAAATTATATTTGCATATTTACTGGATAATTATAGCTCGCGAGTCAACGGTAAATAAAAGCTCTTACCGGCTGCAGAATAAATTCCCAATTTTTTAACACTGCACTGACCCCTATCCACTGACCCCTCTCTACTGACCCCTCTCCACTCGTGCAGTTTATTGATTTCACATTTACTCTTCTGCTGCCGCGTGCGTTTCTCAGATTCGCCTCTCACTCATATCAGTTTAATCAGTTTGTGATTCTTTTTAAAATAATGTATTTATTTTTGCTCACTGATTATGGGCAGCGGTAACACGTATAGTTAAGATGGCACTAAAAGGATTGCGCAACTGAAACATTAAAACTATTCGTACCACTGACATGTAATTATACTTCCTGCAGGTACCGCTTAAAACCAAGTTGATTCAATTTTCATCCGTATCCTTGGGGATAAAATATATATCAACTCATCAACTAAACAACATCGACATAGTATTTCTTAAAGGTGTCTGTGTTATATTCAAGTTTATCTTTTTGGCCGTGGTGTGGGTACTTTGCGCATGCACGTATAATGTAGTTGGATCTCTATGATTAGTAATGAATTCTTGAAAGATCTTGTCTCACATCGCCCAGTCTTTAAAAGTGGGAAGCCGTTATCGATAGTGGCTTCTGGTAAAACGAAACTGAACGGAGCCTTACTCATCGACCCTGTAAACACGAATCATGAATCAGTCACCAGCAGAAAATTTGCGTGACTTTAGAATTTTTAATGTCACAGCTGAACGTGACCTGGGTCGGGTGCTGACGTAATGATATTTACACATACTTACAAAGCGAAAGTGTTCCTTAGAACCGCGAGTTTGCGGACAATATTTACATTTGAAATCCTTCTAATTTGGCCATGGGAACCACAACTTCAAGCAGCCGCGTAGAAGAAACGATCTCGACGCATTACGATTATGCTTCTGTGTTGGAAGAGCAAGTCAATGGAGAGGAATCTTTCCGACTGTATCGAGTCACATCATGTCGTTTTGAAGCCATACTCTATAACCCTAAACACTCACCACACTGCTTCAGTCTCTATAGAGTACCGGAAGAAACAGAGGCTAGAAAAAAATTCAGGTATGGAGTTATACATTATCCTATCTTACTTTAATATTACGGCGGGAAAGTACGATAATAAATGTGAAATTGCGGTGCTAAGGTTGTTAATGGACGGATGTCGTTGAATAATACCCAAGTTTAGTGAGGTGTTATTGATTATCAAATTCGTAGTTATAACATATGAAAATATGGCTTTTCTGTTTACAAAGTAGCTTTTGTGCGTATTTACTCTATTCTATAAAATTAAGGACTGGTTTCACAACATGATATTTTACCAGATAATTTTTAAAGATTTTTTGCGCCTGAATTGACAATTCACTTGTGAAATGTAAGGTATAAGGTGCCGTAAAGCTATAAAGCTGGAGGGAAGAATTTAAAACTGGCTTATTGATTTGTTTTGGATTAGGAAGGTTTTTACTTCCAAGGTCCACAGTAGATGGTTCAAGCATTGAGATGCAGAACTGTTTTGATTTGCACACAGATAAATGCTATTTTGTTTAGAAAGATAAATAATCAAAAACTGATTTTAGAAGGCAATCCCCTCCCACAATGTTGGATCATCTCAAACATTGACCATAAGGATGCTGTGACATGCATGGGAATTTTGCTTTAAAAAAAAGGTGATACAGGGTATTCTTCTACTAGGTTAAGAGCTATAATATTCTTTGCTTTTGTTATCTTTTAGAGATTTTTGTAAAAGACTAGCACCATTTTATCAAAGTTCTCCTAAATGCTACAATTCAGAAGTTCTCCAAGACCTTATTTCCTGTTTGGAACAGCATCCTGATTGGTCATTGGCTCATGTTGCTACTCACGTGGGTCTTTCAGAATGTCTGAAGCACAAGGAAATTGCAGATTCTGTGGATAGTGCCTGTAAAGATAAACAAAGGACTCCTCTGCACATGGCATCCAGGGTATGCCAGTGGAATCACTTAACGATATAATCAATGATTGGGGTTTGTTCAACAACAAGCAGGGGTGTTTGGTGAACTTTATTTTTATTGTTTGTGTATTCTTATGCAACCATTAAAACTGGTCATTAAAAGATGCATATCACATCCAATGGAAATTTTAAGTTAAGACCAGAGTTCCCCAGACTGAAACAGACTCTGTTCATACAGTTATAGATATTCCTGTTTCTCTTTGTTCCCTACAAGATGGATCCCCCTTCTGTGATGAAGACATTGAAAACACAGCTTAGTATTGAACTGTATCTTTTGTACAGAGTGGAAAGCTGGACTTTGTGCAAACTTTAATGGAGCATGATCCTAGACTCCTTGTGAAAGACAAGTCGGGCAACACACCACTTCACTACGCTGCTGAACGTTACCCTGAGATTCTAGACTCTTTTCTGAAAAAGGCCAAAGAACTAGGTACCTACCATTGTCTACTATGTTAACAATGAAAAGAAATATTAAATTTGTACAATTTTGTTTTTTCATAATTTTTCTTGTCTTTACTTTCTATTGGTGATGTTTACTTAGGACAATGAGTGTTGGGCTCCTCAGTTACAAGTAATTTTTAATTATTATTATAAATACTTTATTAATTCATTAGTCTGAACGGTGCTAATAAGTTGTTGCAGCTTGATTAGTTGTGGGACTCTTGATCACCCTTTGAACAATTATTTTGCAAGTTTCTTGGTTGGATAATAGGGTTGGGTCGTTTTTGAGGCATTATCTCTGGCCTCTCACTCAAACATGAT